CCTGAAAACAACAACGGAATTGGTTGAAACGATCTCTTTAGCCTTCTGCATCGCCATGATGATGATTACAAAACCCTAATTTCGCTTTGTTGGTTATCGATCGATCTGGTCTTTAGGAGAATGACAAAAGGAAGTGAGTGAGTGAAGAGAAAGCGAATCAGTAGGCTTTATAGAAACGCAATTTAATTTAGGAATTTGTAATAAGTCAAAAGTCAAGGCTCAATCTCAGCCGTCGAATTAGAAACGGGTATTATTTTATTGGGCTTTTGACTGGGCCTTCATTCTCCATTGTCAGGTCAGGTCAGGTTTGGTGAAATGCCCGGCACGTGTAAAATGAAGAAAAAAGTGTATATACCATTTTTAAAAAAGGAAAAAATGTTAAAAATAATGATTCTTTCAGAAACTATTAAAATAGCTTAAGATTTGCTATGTAGAAATAAACTAGATTCATCTTGTACAGGTAAGAAGAAGCCATTTTCATAAGATTGTAAGAAGTAATCAAAGCAAAGCCATTGCATATTAAGGGATAGAACAAAGACTTTTGTTCACCGCACGACCAAACTAAGCTAAATAATAAGATATACTAGAGAGTCAATTGTACATCAAACAGTAGCAGCAAAAGGAGCACCCACAAAATGGAAAGAGTTAGGGACTGTGAGAACAGGATCAAACCACTCGACATTTCCCCACAATCACCGCGCACCAAATCCTCGTACTCTTATATCCACTAGCACGAAGATACTTAGTCCACAAAACAGCCAACTTTCCACCATAATCCGCAAGTTTAACACAACCATAACCAGCAAACTTAGGCAATCCTTTCAAACCTTTCAAATTCATCCACCAATTTCTCTTACCATTTAAGTCCATCTGAGTTACAACAACAATAAAGTACGTTCTTTACCACAGCCATGACCATCCTATATCGAAACTAGTAATCTCTCCAATCGTTTCCCATTTATCCTCCTTTGGACTGTAAATCAAACCCCCAATCCTAAACAAGTAGTAGATACTTCCTTGAATCACTGCACTCTTGTATACACGATCGTTGCGTTGAGGGCTTAACACAAGCTCGAAAACTTCCATCCAATTAGAGGAATTGGACTCTTTGCAACCTCCTGCTACATATATCTTACCATCAAATACATTACCTGCTGGATAATCTCGCTCCACACGCATGCTTGGAGCCTTGTGCCAAGTGTGACAATGGCAATCTAGAACCCATACGTTTGAAGAAGGTGAACCATTGATTCCACCAATGGTGTAGATACTAGAACCAACTGAAACCACACCTGCTGTAGGAGATTGAGGAGAATTTGGAGTTGTGATTGTAGCCAAAACATACCCACTTGACTTCTTCTTCTTCTTACTGGTTCGGGTTGGTTTCTTGCAGAGAGTGGTTTTCGTCAAGAGCGAACCCTAAACAGACATAGACAGTAAGATTCCGTCTTCTCACTTGCAACTTACCTTGGAGTCTTAATGGGCCTCAAACTATTAATGTACTGAATATACGTAAGCAAATGTTTGAACATTTGTTTCATTATATTTAAGAAAACGTTTGAGCAAATGTTGAATATATAGAGAAGAATTATGAATACAACCAGAGGTATTGAGATTTTCCTATATGAGCAAGTTTATCTGTTATTTTGTTTGTCATTCTTTCGATATGGACCACTTGAACACTTGCATGTCTTGAATCAAATTCTCTATTGTTATGTCCTTTCGTTCAACCAGATTTTGTGAATATTTTTCAAAAATTAAACAACGGTAACCACGGTTCATGTTAATTGTAGAGCATGTAACATGCTTAAGCCTTCCGTTTCAAGAGCTGAGTTCGCTTTGTGGTAGAAAAGCTGATTTTGAAATAACAAAATCACCGTTTGAGTTACGAAATGATCCATCCAATCCCAACGAGACTATTTGATGGATTGGAACACGCATCTTGGTTGCATTTCAGCGATCCATTTGGAGGCGTTGACCAAAGAGGAATATGTTGTTCCCTTGAATTGGCATTTCTTTGTGGTGTTGGAGAGCCATTTGCTTATCTCCATTCAAATGCTTCATTCTTGGCTTGATGATAAATGTCTAATGGACTCCATTGTCTACCAATGAAAAGTTAACTAAATCGTTTTGTGTTTTCCAAAGACTCCATACAAGCCAAAACCTAGTTGAGAGTTGAATCGGCGAAATAGGAGATGACTAGATATTGTTAAGAAGAACGTAAGCCCATAAATTTTTAATGAATTTATTTGTAGTATTTTGTGACAAAGTAAAATATCGTCTATCTTTCTTTTCTAATACAATTTAGGATATATATATATATGCGGGTTTGAAATATATTATTTTATAAATTTTTATAAAGGAAAGTAATCAACTAAAAGTGGAAACTAAAATCAGATCACTCGTAAAAGTATATAAAATTTGAAAAAGTTGATGCAAAACCACTTATCGAGAGACCTAATATTTCTTTATTTATTTTTATTCTTTGATTTTTTAATTAAAGTTTATCACATATTTTCGAATTATTAGTTTTTCTTATCTCTTTGAATTAGTATACTTTTTAATCTATTTATACACCAAATCTTGATGAATTTATTCTCATATTTTGATTTTTTTTTACAAATTTTTAGTATACTACCTTAGAAACTCGTATATATGCGGATCATAGATTTAATATTAAACCATTGATCTTGTTTTGTTTGTGCTTGAATATTTATTTTTTATGTGACCATATATATGTTGTAGACAATAAACAGAAAGTTAAATTAAGAAAAAGTCTTATTAAGTTCACAAAAACTAAAATAGATCATTGTATTCTGTCATACCTATCAAATAATATAGTGATTAACGTTTTTCGAATGAAAAAGCTAAAACAAAATTTTAAGAAAAAAATATTGAAGTTTAATTGATTGATATATTAAAACATAAATACATGCAAAATACATATATTTTAGAC